GGAAAGTAGACATGATAGAGTGGGAATTCATGCTCAGATACATCTGGCTGTGTGAAGCTAACGTAGGACTGAAGAGCCGGGAGTGGGGGGGGGGGGGGGGGGGGGGGGGGGCTAGAAACATCTATGGGAGAGAAACATGGGTCAGCTGCCTCCTGCACGCCCCCTACTAGGGACAAGCCCACAGCCCATGCGTGTGCCCTGACCGGAAAGCAGTCGAACCGGTGATCTGGTGCACGGCACGGTGCTCAACAGCTGAGCCACACCGGGCAGGCTGAGCCCAACTTCCTCTTTCCTCTGCCTTCACACCCACTTCCCTCTTCAGATATTCTTGTTCCGGTTTGGATTTGGGAATAGTTGTAGTACCTCCAAAACCTACCCTTTCAATAGAAAGCTCAGACCAGCTGCTGAGATGGTGGTCCCCGCCATATACAATGCAGTCTTACTGTCTTTTCTTGGACTGCATATCAAGATTAGTGATAAGAAGCCCTGGCCAGAGCCTCTGCCCTCCCACCAAAGGGTCTCAGGTTCAAGGGCACATATCTGGGTTGCAGGTTTGCTCCACACTGGGGGCACATGTGGGAGATAACCAGTCGATGTATCTCTCATATCAATGTCTCTCCCTCTCTCTCTTTCTCTCTCTCCCTCCCCTTCCCACCCTTCCTCCATCCCTCTCTCCCACTCTCTGAAAAGCAGTGGAAAAAATATCTTAGGTGAGGATTAACAAAAAACAAACAAAATAACAGCTTAGTGATAAGAACTCCCCCAGGAGACTGGAGAGACTTGCTGAGGTTTTGCCATTATGGTCCTTGCTGCTGGTGTTTCCCCCCATTTATTCTCACCCAACAGGACAGAAGTCAGCCTTGTGAAGAAAGTGTTCTACCTTTGTTAAATTTTATTTGGTAAAATGTGGGAGGAAAAGACATTTTGAAAGAGCAGGTTCTCGCCTGAAACAGAGAGCTGTGAAGGTCTGGGCAGGTTTTGACAAGTGGGGCCACAGTGCAGGGCCAGTGTGGGCAGCGGCGGAGAGGGTGCAGGAGGGGGCGCAGGAGTGGACCCAGCCCCTCTGTTTGAAAATGTGGGCCCCCAGCTGTGAACGCTGCCCTCCCTGCAGCATGACATTGCTCATGACTGTGACACATGTCTCCAACGCCTAAAGTAAGCCTACTCCCTTTTTTTTAAGATAAGAGTAACAAATCTTTTCTGTATATATTTTTTCCATTTTTATTATTAAAACTTCCAAATGCCACAGAGTGTAATGAGCTGCCACGTACTGTCACCCAGCCTCAATAGCATCAACATTTGCCATAGTTCGAAGGAACAGATCTTATTATTTACCTCTAATATCCTGTGCGGAAGGCCTCATTGTGGGTGCAGTTTACAGGTACACATTCTCTCACCACATCTGCTCGTGCCAGGTCCGCGTGCTGGGCGGTGTAGAATAAATAGATGCAGTTTTGGCATTTTTAACAGCTTATAAGAAAGAGAAACCAAGCTTCAATGGATTCATTATGTTATTTTAAAAATAATAATAATAAGGTAAGACCCAAAGACCAAACATTTCTATACGGGTAGGCAATGCTGGTTTACAGTTGTAATACAAACAATGCAGTAAGTAATATGTAATAATGCAGGAATAAACTCTGTTTCGCATACTCACTGCTTTTGCCCACCCCTGTATATAACATTCAACTTCTGAGCACCTTGCACAACCAACTTACAGAACCAATCAGTAAAAAGCAAAGGTGAAAAGGATAGGAGCCCACCGAGTAGGAGAGTGACTTTGGAAAAGAAGGCAGAGAAGCAGGAGGGAAACCTTCGCGGGAAAAGGCAAGGTGGGGTCCTCAGGACTGTCAGAGGGCTCGGATAGAGAGACAGAATTGCCACGGTGGACTTGGAAGATTTAGGAGTCATTTTCACGGTGACTCATCAGAAATCTGTTCTTGGCAGCCGATGCTTCTGGTAACTCGTGCTGGAAATTCTGCAGGTTGTCGTCGTTTTTAACGTGTCTGGTTTTTCAGTTGGAAGAGGCCGAGAAGTTTGCCAAAATTGTCGTTGATGCGGAAGAGAAAACGTCCGAGTTCAAGGCCAAAGGCTACTTAGCGCTGGGGCTCACGTACAGCCTGCAGGCCACTGACGGTGAGAGAAGCCCCACCCTTGGGCCCTGGGACACAGGCCGGGCTGCCCGTCTGCACCGCAGGGTTCCCACACCTCCCGCTGTCTCCGGCGGGCGTATAAGCGGGGCCGCTCTATGTGCTCTCCTGTGGGGCCCTGCTGCTGCGGTCCTCATTGCTTGTGCTGCTTGGCTATGGGAGGGAAGGGGGCTGGGCTGGGCTGGTGGTGCACAGGGGGCCAGCTGGCAGGTGCAGGGCCCTTGAGAACCGATTCATCCCCCCAGCCTGGGCCTGCCTCTGCCCCAGCACTCGGCTGGGCGGTCCACCTGTGAAGGGATGTTGGGTCTTAGGCACAGGAACATAGGACAGTTCGGGGCCAGCCTCTTCCAGGAAGCTTCCCTTGATTGATCAGGACCTGCCCTTTCTCCATGCAGTCATTCTTTTCCTTTAAAAAAAATATTTTTTCATTGATTTCGGAGAGGAAGGGAGAGGGGGAAAGAGAGATAGAAACATTAATGATAAGAGAGAATCATTGATTGGCTGCCTCTTGCATGCCCCACATTGAGGATCAAGCCTGCAACCTGGGCATGTGCCCTGACTGGGAATCAAACCATGGCCCCTGGTTCCTGGTCGATGCTCAACCACGGAGCCACACTGGCCAGGCCCACTTCTGAACTGATTTTCCCGGTCCAGTGTTGGGTCAGGTCAGTCCCTAGTGTTCATATCAAGGTGGTAACAGTCCTGGCCATTGCACAGCGTGAATTAAACTGGCTCTTCCTGGCCCGGGATCAGAGCTGCTCGGTGCCAGAGGCCCTCTGAGGCATCCAGCCCAACACCCATGGTGCTTGGTGGTCTGCTCTGCCTCCTGGGAGAGCCAGGCTTCACCCAGTTACATGCCTGCACTTGAGAAAACAGCCGGGCTCCTCTCTGCAGTTCCCGCTGGTCTTTTAAAGATGGCCCTCTCTGCCTGGGGCACCAAGAATGACCCTCAACGCACGCCGTCCCCTCGGCATCATGCCAAGTTACACCCACGAGTGCCAGGGCCCCGGGTTGGCCTGGGCTCCGTGGCCCGTCTCCCAGTGCCTGGGGCAGCACCGAGCACACACCCACCCAGAATTTGCTGCTCATAATCCAAAGGAATGTGCAGTTTTTGTGATGCGCTTTGTATTTGTCCGAAACATGCCTCTGACTGATCCAACCCTTTTCAGCTTCGCTGCGAGGGATGCAGGAGGTCCTGCAGAGAAAGGCGCTTCTTGCATTTCAGAGGTGAGTGGGAGTTCCTCTTTCCACACGGCTGTGCATAATGACACCAGTGTGATCAGTATAAAAGGGAGAGATATTTATAAAGATTATGTAAACAGTGTTTTCCCCCTGGGAGTCTTTCCTCCCGAGCACTGAACACACATGTGGAAGCTCACCGCATCATTTGTTACCGTGTAGATCTGCATTCTTCATCTGTCCGTCCTTCAGCCTTCGGGCACATTTTCTTCCTTCCTAATAAAGCCAGTTCAGCCATTGGAAGACAGATGCTCTGTATGTGTAGGGAGATGATTCCTTTTATTAAAGACATTTGTCATCATCTAGAAACGGGATCATTCTTTCCTAGTTTTTTTTTTCTTTTTTTGCCTGTGAAGCTGCAGATTTTTATGTTAAGAAATGAAAAAGTCAGGTTTTAGGACAGTCTCTGAAATACCATGTGAAGACAGTCAAGTCGCCTCCACCCCAGTCTTGCTCCATAATACCTGTGCTGTCTCCGTCATTGTACCTGCCGTGAAATTCGGAGAATGCTTTATAATTAGCACGTGCTTGCGTGTCATAGTGTTCTCCCACATCCCTCATTTAACTCGTCCTCACCCACACCAGACAGGTAGACAGGACAAGCAGTATGTTCACTGCAGGTGAGGGACTGGCAGGCAGGAGTGGGGAGTTACAGAGCCACGTTGCCTTTGAGGTCAGGATAGAATCATCGTCTCCTGACTCTAACCCAACTTTTCTGGTACCGACTGCACTTCACTGCCCTGATTTTATTCTTATTGCAGCTGTAATAAATCACTAAAACGAATCATTGCTTGAAAGTAAAGCCGCCTGATGGCAAATCCACAATTGTTATTGATCCTCTCACTTTAAATAATATCTGCGTTACATTGCTTTCTTGGAATTGTATTAGAAATGTAGTTACTTGCACCAACATTTCATGAGGACCTCAGTCACTAATACCCTTTGGTAGATTTCTTTCCCAGAACCGGGGTTGCCTACGGATTTACCGCAGGGCTCGCGCCCCTGTCTTCATGAAACCATTATTACTTGGTTTCGGTGAGTCCGAAATCTTGCATCTCACTTCTGCTTCCTGCCAGGCCTGCGGGTTGTGCCTTCACCTTGCCCGTCCCAGGCTGGGTAATGACACCCAGTCCGGATTGACACCTGCACACAGATCTGTGTCTGTGCTGAGCTTTTGTTGCCGTTCTTCCGCATGGGAGTGGGGGAAGCCTTTCCATTTCAAACAATATGGAGTTTTAACTTTTCCAGTCCCAGCTTGTGAAACACATGACTGCCTCAGAAAGTGGCCATTACATCTGCTTTCCTTTTCTCAAGTCAGCACATCTCATTGGCTTTCTAAAAACAGCCGTGGTGGTGGTCTGCCTTGAGCCGTCACAATTCATAACTTTATGTTATGTCACAGCTGTTCCATTGACACGAATTCCTTCTTGTGCCTTTTACTTAGGTTTCAATTCAAAGAGAATTTCTAAAATATTAGTTCCTGTGGAAATAAAGAGTAATGAAACCCTATTAACCTACGTGATTTATTGGCAAAGGCTAACCTAAATTAGTATTTGTGTGAAATAAAGAATATTTTTCAAGGAAATAAATTATTTTGTTTCAAGTACACATCAATGAGGGCTATTCTAGTACACTGTAGACCTGACAATCTGTAAGGAAAGATTTTAAGTAAATATGAATCATTTGTATTCCTCCTTAAATGTAAATGGATATTTAAAAGCCACTTGGATGAGAAGTACTTTCTTTTGCTATATATTTAAATCCTCTGCCCACAATGCTGTTTATACTATTGTTTGGCAATTTTTGTTTAAAAAGAAAAGAGTGTAACTCAAAAAGGGGTGGGGTTGCAGATACATGTAAATATTAGCTCTTAATTATGCCTGGAGTCAGAATTCAGGAAGATTTGCTGTCGGGTAGATTAAAAAAGGTGGGTTTTGAAGGCCTCCCTCTTGCATTTCTGCATCTTAATATTGAGATCCTCCACTGTCCGTTCGTCCAAAAGCTCAGCCCAGCAGCTGGGCCAGTTCATTCGGCCCGTACAGAGGAATAGTGAACAAGACCATGTTGTCTGCAAAGCTGCAAGCCTGGTACAGAGACGGCCCCACGTGCAGAAATCGGCTGCTCCAGGTGGTGGTGGTCGTGTTTGTCACTCAGTGTGAAACACGATCTCGCGTCATGGTGCTCTCCCTCCTGGCTTCGATTAAGTTTGCTTGTGGTATAATTGGTGTGTATGGAATGAGTGACTGTCCCAGTTTTTCGGGAAGTGAGCACCATCCCAGACCATGGGGCTTTGAGTGCTGAAACCAGGGAAAACCAGGAAAGTTGGTCATCCTGTGTGTGTCACTAATGGGAGGCTCCTGAGTGATAGATTTAACCAGATGTGTACATTTCCCCCCTTAACTGACTAATAAATACACTGACCACAGGTCCGTTGTAATCTGGACAGAAGGAGACTTTGAGAAGAATTGACTGAACAAGGCAGCAGGGTGATATGGGGGAGAGAACAGGCCTCAGGATTTCCCTTTTAGCTCTAGTCTTTTGCTGGATACTCTTGGGTCAGGTGCTTAAAAGTAGATTCTTCATAAATTGTAGTTGTTATAAAGTATGTATCTTAAGGACCAGGGTCAAATTGTTCAGCCTTTTCTATATTCTTGGTTCTAGAACATGTTGGAACTGGAGTCTGGGAGAGCACTGGGTGGACCTCAAGGTGTTCTGGGTTCTAGACAGGTGATCTTGGGGGCCCATTCCATGCTCTCCAGCAGCAGCCTGGCAAGCCTCTCTTGGGGCCCTGCTCCCACTGTACTGTAATGGTCACTTTGGGTCTCCCTGGCTCTGGGGGAGAAGGGATGTTCTCCCTTCTCCAGGCTGGCGCATGGTTCATCTACAGGCTCCCCAGAGGCTGGCCCAGGCCTGGCACCACATTGGTACTAAATAATGTGGGTGGGTGAATGCATGGATAGGTAGATGAGTTGATGGATGGATGGATGGATGGATGGACTGATGAATAGATGAGTGGATGGATGGATGGATGGATGAGTAGATGGATGGATGAGTGGATGGATGAGTGGATGGATAGGTGAAGAGATGAGTGGATGGATGGATGGATGGATGGATGGATGAGTAGATGGATGGATGAGTGGATGGATGAGTGGATGGATAGGTGAAGAGATGAGTGGATGGATGGATGGATGGATGGATGGATGAGTAGATGGATGGATGAGTGGATGGATGAGTGGATGGATAGGTGAATAGATGAGTGGATGGATGGATGGATGAATAGATGAGTGGATGGATGGATGGATGGACGGATGGACAGGTGGCCTGGTGACCCATCAGTCTAACAATTCTTTTTTATGGACAATATATTAAATTAATGGGCATGGAGTTGCTTTGACAAGGGAAGTGCTTTGTGAGCATCCTGTGGTGACAGCTTTAGATGTCTGGGTTTCTCCTAACGGCTCTACCAGGTGCTGCTGTATGGGAGTGGGGCTTGTAGGGCTGCTTTGTATTCATGTGC